TATATCAAGTTCTGCATCCTGTTCCAAGCTGTAATATTTTATGATTCTATAGTTAGTATAATATAGGATAGAGTTAGTTTTTCACGGCCTTTTTCCCCCGAGATCCAGACTCCTTGAGTGCTCATCGTTGCTGTCCAGGCCATAGGCCTCAGGTCGTAACATTATATCCTCTTACCCCTTGCAATAATTCAGACTTATTTTCGTTGTATGCAGTATCCCAAATTTGTTAAGTCATCAGATTGTTTATTTGTTAAGGTACATAATTGTTTACATACTCTGTGTTAAATATAAGGCTTCCTCTCGTTACATGACAGTGCGAGTGTAGACATTGTATATCTAAAAGATAGCAGTCCCTATTATGTGATATTATTGGGGCTTTCTTATATCTTAAAATAAAAGTTGGTCTTTTTATCACACATTTTAACAATATATTTAATGCTTCTCTAATCTCGTGTTAGTCTTTTTGTATAATTTGTTATTCAATACTAAAACTACAATTTTTTTTTCATTTGGTATCTCTACTAAAACTACAAATTGGATTTAGTAAAAATTTTTAGAAATTGAGTTAATGGAGAAACTTTTTTCTCTGATTTTTCTTCCACTTATTTTTTTAAGCTTCTTTTAAAATTATTTTTCTTGTTAGCCACATTTTACCTGTATTTTTCTATAAGCAAGTACTCTTATTAGTTTTCTTTTGCAGCCTCATCCTGTATAGTCTTTATGTCTTTATGCCCCGCTTTAAAAAATATAAATAAATATGAGCCAGCTTTTTAGGAGATCCGAAAGAACATACACTATAGCCAGGACTACAGAGAAACTTCTGTGCAAGCACTTGATCAAAATTAAACAAATGCTCTGGGGTTGGACCTTATCCTTCATTTAATATAAATAAACATGCTTTGTGTCTGGCTCTGGAGAGACATAAATTAGTGACACTGAAAATACTCTTCTCTCTCAGACCTTTGTTGTGGGAGTGGTGCAGCTTGGTCTCCTGGAAGAGATTGATAGTGAAATGTGATGCCCAAGGTGACTGTCTCATGGTGTGCTGACACATTTTTTTTAAATACTCAGATTCATTATAAAGAAGAAACAAGAAATCTGAGCAGACCTATAACTACTAATAAAACGAATCAGTAATCATGAAAACTCCCAGCAAACAAAAGTCCTGGCCCAAATGGTTTTATGGATAATAAACGAATTCAATAAAGTAACAAAATAACAAAATTTATTCATAAATCAGTTGCATTTTTATATACTAATAATGAACTATCAGAAAGAGAAATTAAGAAAACAATCCCATTTACAATTGCATTAAAAAAAAAAAAAACCGGAAATACCTAGGAGTAAATTTAACAGGGAAGTAAAAGACCTGTGCTTGGAAAATTATAAGACATTAAGAAAGCAACTGAAGAAGACACAAGTAAATGGAATCATATACCATGCTTGTTAGTAGGAAGAATTAACATTGTTAAAATGCTCGTACTACCCAAAGCAGTCTATAGATTCAGTGCAATCCCTATCAAAAGACCAACAGCATTTTTCACAGAACTAGAACAAATAATGCTAAAATTTATATGGAACCACAGAGGACCCCAAACGGCCAGAGCAATCTTAAAGAACAAAGTTGGGGGTATCATGCTACCTGATACCAAAATATAGAAAAAAAGGTATAGTAATCAAAGAAGCATGGCACTGCCATAAAAACAGACACATAGAGCAATACAGCAGGATAGAGTACCCAGAAATAATATCATACCTATATGGTCAACTAATCTATAACAAAGGAGGCAGTAATATACGATGGGATAAAGACAGTCTCCTCAATAAATTGTGTGGGGAAAACTGGACAGACACATGCAAAAAAATGAAGCTAGACCACTTTCTTTCACCACATATAAGAATAGACTCTAAATGGATTAAAGGCTTTAAGAACTGAAACCATAAAACTAGAAGAAAACAGTAAACTCTGGCATCGCTTAGTAATATTTTTTTGGCTGTGTCTCCTTGGGCAAGGGAAACAAAAAAACAAATGGAACTACATCAAACTAAAGGTTCTGCACAGCAAAGAAAACCATCAGCAAAACAAAAAGACTTCCTACTGGATAGGACAAGATATTTGCCAATGATACACCTGATAAGGGGTTAATAACTAAAATACGTAAAGAACATACAACTTAACACTAAAAAAAAAAAAATCCAATTATAAAATGGGCAGTGGACCTGAATAGACATTTCTCCGAAGGGGACATACAGATAGATGGTCTATAGACATATGAAAAGATGCTCAGCATCACTAAATACCAGAGAAATGTAAATTAAAACCACATCGAGATATTACTTTACACCTGTCAGAATGGCTGTCGACAGTAAATCGGCAAACAAGTGTTGGCGAGGATGTTTAGAAAAAGGAACCCTTTTGCACTGTTAATGATATTGCAAATTGGTGCAGCCACTATGGAAAACAGTGTGGAGAGGTTCCTCAGAAAAATAAAAATAAAACTAGCATATGACTCAGCTGTCTTGCTTCTGGTTTTTTAGCCAAAGAAATCCAAAACACTAATGCAAAAAGGTATATGAACTCTTACGTTCATTGCAGCATTATTTACAGTAGCCAAAATGTGGAAGCAACATAAGTTCATCAGTAGAGGAATGGATAAAGAAGAGGTGTACATGTATACAGTGGAATATAACTTGGCCATAAAAAAGAATGAAATCATTTGCAACAATATGGATGGACCTAAGTGAAATAAGTCAGGCAGAGAAGGACAAATACTGTATGATTTCACTTGTATGTGGAATCTAAAGGACAAAAGAAAGAACAAACAATGAAAACAGACTCATAGATACAGAGAACAAACTAGTAATTACCAGATGAAGGGGGGTTGAGAACTGGATTGGGCATGAAAAAGGTGGTGGGATAAAGTATAAATTGGTATAAATGTCTGACCATTATGCTGTACTTCTGAAACTAATATAAAATAATATTAATGTCAACTCTAATTTAAAAATAAAAGTTAAAAAAAAAACTTTAGTTATTTCATGCATTTAAAAAGCACTTAGTTCCTTTTCTTTTGATGTTTTGTTATACAGAGTCAGTTTGATGATAGTTTAACATCAGAAGTTAGGCCTCAGTTTACGTAAAGAATAGACATACATACCCTTATCATAAGACAGAGTTGAAATGGCGTGGTTTTTCTTAATTGCTAGAATTCCCTACCAATGAGGGGGAAAAAACCTTAAATTAATCAAAGATTTGACTTTAATAGAATTCACACCTTATCCACCTTCAGTTTGTCACCCTTGACAATTCAAATTGGGAACCAATCTCTCAAAATGATGTATTACGGGTTTTGCCATCACAAGCCTTTGATACTATGGTCATCATCATAATACAAAATGTGAGGCAAGGAGCACGACTTTGCCAATGGCCCTGGGTGTTCATTGAGTTGCCTCAACAATGATCCGTTGGTACTATTCCTCCATTCCCTTCACTCAGTAGGAGTATCTGCACCCACGTTTAACTTACTCTAGACGAGGCTTCCTTCTCATGTGATCAGGGACCTCGTGGGCTCCAGATGCTGGACAGGTGGTTTTCAACTGTCACCAAAATTTAGAACGCTTGGCGCCAGGCAGTCTATCAGTGGATCGTTCCTCCACTAATAAGAGTACTCTCGTTCCGGTAATGTAAGAGGGAAGAACAGGGCAACTCTTCAAGATTGGCTCCATTAGAAGTTAGGGAATACAAACCAACAGAATCAAAAAAGGAGAATCATAGTGAGTTACAGTAAGCAAGTTTTTTGTTGTACAAAGCAGCTTCTGCCATAGCGAAATTAGCCCTTCCAGAGGACCACGTCATTTGTCCTGTAATAGAGGCAGCACCTAAGGCATGCAGGTCAATAGAAGATACAGAGATGGTTTGTCACCTAAGAACTCGTCTATGAATTATGGCCCCTTTTTGACTGATGCAGTGTTAACATGTTAGAGTAGGAGTATGACCTGATATTTGATTAGATGTATAATTAGATTTTTGATATTCATGAGAGGTTAATAAGAGGAGCTTGGTTCCTATATGAATGTGTCAGATCATTAGCTACAAATCAGTTGATTATATTGTGGTTCTTAGGGCAACTTCTTTATGTAACCCATTGAGGTTCACTAGTAGCTTTTTAAGCATTCTGCCCTGGGGAAGAATAATCTAATATATTCTGTATAGATTAAAATCTAGAAAAGATAGTATCCGGAATATTTTCTGTATTCAAAAGAGGTTTCATAATGTCTATTGCTTAACAGAATGATTAGACGGGCCTTAGTTCTACTTCTAAAAAAAAAGATGATTTACTTCATGGCACCAGAAGGGACGGAAGAGGTTTTTGTTGTATAAAGAATGGAAGCAGTATCTGCTCAAAAGAGTTGAAAAGGCATGGAAGATTAAGTAATTGCTTATTTGTCTGTAAATTAATGGAAGGAATGAAAAACTAGTTGAGCATATGTGTGTCTTATTAGTGACAGGGAAAACTTTTCAGTTCTGTGTTTTAAATTGGGTTTTTAAGTGAAAGGAAAAAAAATCTTGGTACATGCAGGTGGGAAAACTTCCAGATGTAAAAACAACTTAAGAAAAAGCTAATTTGATTATTAGAGATGGTAAGCGTGGAACTCTTAAAAGAAACTATGTTTTAAGTCATAATGTGTTGTCAAGACTAGTATTTGTGTTTTTCCCCCAAAACTCAGTATAAGTGATCAAGTTCTCTCCTCTTCTCTCTCACATTCTTTCATAAAGAGAACTAGGTAAAGAATATCATAAGAGATTGCATCACTTAAGGGTGGCAGTCTTCACATCATAAAGTTCTTTTTATTTCTGTATTTGCTCTCTTTATTCCACCTAGTAATAAATATCCCAGTGAATGATTCTTATTAGAGAAATAAGTAGTAATCATTGTTGAAAGCATGTAATTGTAGTATGCAGCAGTGTTAAATGTTTATGGTTTGCTTTCTTTTTATAGAACACAAAGTGATTATAGTGGGACTGGATAATGCAGGGAAAACCACCATTCTTTATCAATTGTAAGTATGGGTGTTCATTTAAACAGTTTTCATTATTTTAGTTATTGGAACTAATTTTGTATAATTAAGATATTATAACTCACCTCGGCGGCTCGTGGCTAGTTAATAAAACTAGGAGATGAAACAAACAAAAAATGCTGTCACGATATATTGGAAAAACTTAAACATATTGTTTTGTATTTTAGCAAACACAAAATTTATGAAAAAGTGAATAAGATAAATTGTTCTGTTTGCTAAAGCCTTCACAAACACTTGTCTTTTTCTGGCCTTGAAAAAAAAGAATTAATATTAAACTAAAATAAATAAAGCACATATTATAGTGGTGGAGTGAGGTAATAGAGTGCATTTCACTTAGTTATTCTTACACTGGGATTCATGTCAATAGATTGTTATCTGTAGTGAGCTGTTGCTACTCTCCTAACAGCTCTGGAATTGTTTAACATAGCCAGACTTGTCAGATCAAAAGAAACGAAGATCACTCCTAAAACTATTGCTTTGGTAGCTTGCAACAAGGAGAGGCTTGAGACTTTTTAGAAAAATACATTAATACTTTAAGGAAATTTTAACAACCCATCAGTCCACTTGTCAGAGTATCTCCCATTTTCCTTTTAGTGCCAGTGAAATGATCCCTGTCAAACAATGAAAGTTGATCTATGCCCAAGCATTTTAACAAATAGTTATTTATTTACAGTGCATCATCATATGACTTCTATCTCTTCCCACCACATCCTAAGTATATCAGCTGACAGCCCTCCAGAAATACTTCACTTGAGGAGTACTTAATATATTTTTCAGCTACTTATGGCTTGCTGCTTCAGAGTTGAATAACTATTTTGGCCATTATGTATTTAAATTGACTTAGCCTTTAAACATCAAATATAAACATTTTAGGAACCTGTCACTGTTGTTGAAATAATTTTTTCACATAGCTTCAGAAATACATATAAAACACAAAAGAGAGTTGCAAACTTCTTCCAGCACACTACTGGCATGTTATAAACAAACACATATTGGTTGAATAAATTACTGTAGATAAATGAATGATTATTATAATGCATGTGATGGGAGCATCAGTGTTCCAAATATGTTTAGAATTCATTCTAATTAAAATTTTCATTTGCCCATAGCCTTATCTTTTTAAGACTGTGTATAAAGTTAATAGGCATGAACTGATTTTTATGGCTTAGACAAGTCTCAGTTTTCTCATAGTCTTCAGAATTATAGATAGCCTACTATTCCATGGTTGCTGCTTGGCAAGTATTGATGTCACAGTCACCTAGAAACTTGCTCTTTCAGGATGGAGCTTTGGTTCTGCTGTAACTGATAACAGGGCATGGCAGTATTGGAATTTTGGCCACAGAAATGCTAACCCACACCGCAGGGCTCCCTGCTATCTAGATCAAGCCTGTAGTTTATCCTATTAAAAGAACAACAACAACAAAAATCTTCAGGCGTTGTTCTTATCTAGATATGTGTTTGCACAAATGTTCTATAAGGTTCTAGCTCCAATGCCAATGGTTAACCATCATTGCACAAATAAGGAAGATTGATTCCTATTAAAAACATAGAGATTAAAACTTACTTCAGGTTCTCAAGATTTACAGAAGAGTTTTTATGATGTCTGTCTTTCAACAGCTTGATGAATGAAGTGGTTCATACCTCTCCAACCATAGGAAGCAATGTTGAAGAAATAGTTGTGAAGAACACTCATTTTCTCATGTGGGATATTGGTGGTCAAGAGTCTCTGCGGTCATCCTGGAACACATATTACTCAAACACAGAGGTATATTGAAGTTCCTACTAAAGTCAATTTTAATAAAAAGAACCAGAGAGTGGTAAGCCCAGAAAATAGATAGGCTGAACAGGGGGCATATTGACAGTTGCCCTTTAATAAGATCCTTTTTTGTAAAAAACTTGAGGTTTCCGAATAAAAGAATAAGCAAGTAGGAAGAGGAATGGGAGCCGTTATTGAGTGCTTGCTGCGGGGCAGGCTCTGTCAGTTCCTCCTCACTATAACGCTGCAGCACCCTCGTTGGAGAACTCAGACACGAGGATGAATTATATATAACCTTTCCCGAGATCCCACAACTTTATGAGAGGCCCTGGTTGGGGGAGGAATAAAATACTTTAAGCATGATTTGACATAAGATTTTCAAATAACATGATTCAAAATTTTAGTGAGATTATATTTTAATTAAAAAAGAAATGGATATGTAGGCCGCACCCCAGAGTTCCCTGTCCCTAGTTCATTATTTTACTAATTTCCAGAGCCAACCTGAGTAACAATTCTGGAATGTCTTCTGTTTCTGTTTTTAATTCTTCTTAGAGGCAGATTTTAAAAAAAAGAAAAAAAAAAATGCAGTGCTATTGAGAGAGGTTTATCTTTGAGGATATTAATATATACAATTGCATCCATAATTTTTTTAAACAAAGAATTACACCAATCAATTATTTTTTTGTTAAATGAACCCTCATTGTTTACGTCCATGCCACCCTGAACAAGCCCGATCCCGTCTGATCTTGGAAGCTCAGCAGGATCAGAACTGGTTAGTTCTTGGATGAGAGACCACCAAGGAAGACCAGGTGCTGTAGGCATAAAAAATAAAAATAAAAAAATAAGGGATTGTAAACTGACAAGGTCTTTGCAATCAATGAGGTCAACCAAGGGTTGCCTCGCCTAAAAAATAAAAAAATTAAAATTAAAAAAAATGAGTGATGTGTGTTGGGAGTGATGGAGAGGAGGTTAGGGGTGTGATACAAGGAATTTTGGGTGAATAAGTTGCCTTTTTAAATCAAAATATATATTCCTCTAGATTTATATTATAATAACATATGTATATATTTATATGTATTCTAGGGCAGTGTATGACTGGCCAAACCAAGACAGCATGTCATAGATATTCAGCAGTTGTAGTCATACTTAATATTTTTTATTTCCAAGGGAGCATAGGTTGGTGAGTAAATACTATGGTTTGATTATACGTTAGCTTACTATATATTTCTATAGTAAAATAACATCCTGAAATTAAAATATATTGGAGAGTCAGGGAAGAACAACATTTTATTACATTATGACTAAACGGCATAACTGTTGATACTCTCAAAACTCACAATCAACTGCCAGTATGAAGAGAGGAGTTATCTTTGACAAATAAATCAAATTTGATTCTTGCTGATGCATGTATATTTAGCTTTACGAAAGGATATTATTGAAAATACTGAAACTCTAGAATACTTAGCATGGATCCAAAAAGAGATACACTATTGTTGATGCTATTTGCATGAAATTTTCTTTTAATAAACTTATTTCTATAAGAATAGCAAAATTACTGCAAAGAACCTTTGGCCTTTATTGCAACACATAAGGTTTGCAATCTCAGATTCCAAGCAGAGATCTTATCCCCGTGGTGTTCCCCTGATGGCTTTGGCCACCCTTGTCATCTTGCTTCTTAAATTCTTTACATTGAGGAGTCATCCAAGAGCTGAAATGTGTCTTATAATATAAGGAGTTACAGATAGTGACTAATTCCTGACACCTTTCATTAACGTACAAGTTCCATATTTTCTGACCATTTTTCTTATATTTATCTCTTCTATTTTCTTTCTTTTTTATTCCTGTTTTTCTCAGTTATATTCAGATTAGTCTTGATTTATTTTACATCACTTCCTCTACTATAATCTTTTACACCTCATTTTTTAATTTTATCTTCTGCATAAGATGTTTCATTTAAGAGCCTTTTCTGACTATATCTTATTTTTCTCATCAAAGATGCTTTTATTTTGAATGTGAGACCCACCGTTTTCATATACACAGTTACTAACAATCTTTTCCAGTTCTCTCTGATCTCTCTTTAATTTCACTTGTATCATCTTTAGCATGTTAACACCTAACTATATGTTTCTATTTAGCACATTTTTTCTTACTCTTTTATTATTATTGTTATGTAAAAATGCCTTTTTTGATAGTTTTTTTAAAAAATGTGTTTTTCTTTTTCAAACTAGCTCATGTGCTTCTTTCTAATAGGTAGGGGACTATTAAACTTAAAAATTGATTGCCTAAATGAGTGATTATAGAGTATTTTTAAGGTTCAGTGAGTTATGTTAACTGTGACTTTCCTTTTAAAAAATACTTTTTTATTACTTGCATTATAAAATAATAGTATTACAGAATATTATGTATTCAGACGTCACTTTTTAAAATACAATTGAGCATGGTTTTTATTTATTGAAGTTATGTGTTATTTCCTTACTAACATTTGGATTTTATGGCTTGATATAATTCGATATTAACTCTTTATGATAAAAAATTAGTAGACTCTTTTATTTTATAGAATTGATGATGCCATGTGAAGAACGTATTTCTATCACTTGAGAGTAGTTTTGCAGAAAACTTCAACATCCCATTCAGTTTTCTTTCTTTTTAATTGTCTTCTAGTTCATCATTCTTGTTGTTGATAGCATTGACAGGGAACGACTAGCTATTACAAAAGAAGAATTATACAGAATGTTGGCTCATGAGGTAATTTTTTCTTTTTTTTTAAGAAGTTTAGAGAATTTATTAGATAATGGTTTGCAAACCAGGAGATGTAGCCCTCAGTATGAACTGAGAATGTGTTCCAAAATGGAGGGGATAGGACAGGGCTTATGAAAGCTAAAGCTGCAAAGAGCTATTGTAATGAGGTAAATTTTGAAAGCAAACATAAACAATGGAGTAAGGTATCTGTCTACTGGTTTTGCTTTTTTACAAAGATTAATGTGTTCTGCTGTCGGTTATTTTATTAGCAAAGTTTTATATATTCAATTGATGAAAGTCTTGAAGTAAAAAATTTTCATTACTTTTTCAAATTTAAAAAATTCAGCATGTTAATTTATAAAGTGCTACTATCAAAAAGAATTTTCGAAGTTAAACCTACTCGTCTTAAAAAGTCTGATAGATTGAAACAGGAAAGGGGAAAACTTAAGTGTTTTTTCCCCCGAGAGTTTATAATAACTGAAAATTTTTTAGTGAATAATTTGAGATCACTTAATTCTAAATATTTCAGATATACAGAAGAACTTGGATAATAAAACACATTCGTGCACCTACCATTCATATTAAATATCTTATGAGATCTCTCCAATCTAAATTTCCTTCCTTTTCTCTCTCAAGGAATCCAAAAAGAATTCCACTATCCTAAAGTAGTGATTAATATTCCTATGAATATTTTATTTAGGTGTCAGTTATACAGAATATTTTATTCCATGTTCATAAAACTTTACATGATGGTTGCATATCTTTCTGTATCTTGGGTTTGGGAGATTTTTTTGCACAATATTTTGATTTATTCATTTTAGTACATATAGCTTTAGTTCAATTGTTTTAATAACTATATAGTATTTCACTGTGTGAATATATCACAGTTGATCTGTTCTTCTATTAATGAAATTTAGGTTATTGCCAATGTTTTGATAGTATAAACAGTGCTGCAGTGAACATTAATGAATGAGCTTAGGTTATACAAAGACAAATAAATTATAAGTATTGCCCAGCCCTTACTCTCTGTACTCTCATTTAAATTTTGGAGAAACCGTAGCATTTGGCAACATAGTACCGTATTTGTCCATTGGAATATTGTTCATATAGTTTTAAGTCAATATTTAAGGGTCAGGTTTATTTTACTGACCGCTTTGACCCAACAACAGAAAAATAACTTTTAATTATCTAGCTTATGTTTATTAATCTGTTTTTGTTAAAGTGGATTGTTAAATCATGGTTATTTGAGTTAATTTATTTTTGTTTCTGTAAAATTTTTAATTAAATATTAGCACTATAACTGTTCAGTAGGGTACATTTCACCTATCTGCTTCATTAATTTCATTTGAATTGTGATATTTCACATATTAGAAATATTTCATATTGATTGCAGGATTTACGGAAGGCTGCAGTTCTTATCTTTGCGAATAAACAAGATATGAAAGGGTGTATGACAGCAGCTGAAATCTCCAAATACCTCACCCTTAGTTCAATTAAGGATCACCCATGGCACATTCAGTCCTGCTGTGCTTTAACAGGAGAAGGGTAAGTGCTAATCAGCACAAGGGGAGGTATGACTTCTTTCAAATTCCTTTCAGTTTCTTTAGGCCAATTTGCCAACTTGTTTTCTTCTTTGTTGCTGTTCCTTTCTGGTTTTTAATTAACGATGGTTTTTGCATTGTGTCTCAGGTTTACAAGATTGAAATAATTTGAATCAATTACTATTGTTAAATTACAATTTAACAAAGTTACTGACAAATTTTTTGTAAGTTTTAGTATAAATGGAAAATTTTACCCCAAAAAAGCAATGAGTTTTCAAAATCTACACTTTTTAGTTCATTTCAAAGAAATGGCACATTTTCTGAAAAGGCTTAATTAATCCTAAGCTCCCAGCTTACCACAAGAGCACGTCTCCTTTGTAAGGAGTCCTTTTGGGACACTCACTTCTAAACAGTAAATGTGAGGCAAATGTCATTGTAGTATATTCTTCCTTTTTAAGAACTTGAGTTTGGATAAACAGGCCAAAGAGAACCCAGTGTGCTATGTATGGGTTACCCAATTTATTTCCAGGAACTTATTTATGCTCAAATCAACTTGGCCTTCTTAGTTTTTCTCATACTAGAAATAGCTTGTAGTGTAGTGGCTACATGTAGACTTCTTTGACCTATACTTTTAAGATTGGGCCACGAGCATTCCATCCTCGTTTCCTGTCGTCTGAAGTGGTTTCAATGTTAGTTCATCTCAGAGGGGGATCGAGGAGTATTTGCAATTTTGCTGTCAAAACCGCCAAAGCTGGATCAAGATGAGACTGAAGCAATTTCCTCCATTACTCAATAAGATCATTTTGTCTAAGTGAATCTTCCACTTAAAATTTCTACTTATTTTTATGTTAGCTGAATTTTGTCTCTTAAATGTATAAATAATTATTATAGTACCAACATTTGGGTAAAGCTTAAAAATGTAAATATGCATTCAGTTTTTAACTATAAAGTTTTTTGTTTTGAAAATATCTCTCTTTTGGTTCAGGTTATGCCAAGGTCTAGAGTGGATGACCTCCCGGATTGGTGTGAGATAACTTTTTTGCTCGGAAGAGACTGCTGTATTTATTCTGTGACATGAACATTTTTCCTAGTACCTTTGGCTGCTAAGGCAGCAGCATGTTTAATTTATAACAACACAAACCTCTATGAGCAACACTTGAATCAAGTGCAGCTGAACTGGAACATGAAAGATTTTTTTTCTTAACTTTTTTTTTAATGCACTAATCTTCAGTTGGATGAACACTAATGCATAACTATGTTTTCAGCAACAGAATTTTTCTGGCTGCTTATTCTAATTATCTAATGACTGCCTTGCAAGAAATATTTGTCATATGTTTAATGTTTTCTGAAGTATTGTAATAACTTTAATGACCAGTTTCTTCCATTTCTTGACCAACCTTATCCCTACCAGATAATTACTGGTTTGACAAAGTAGTAGTGGAAATTGTCAGGTACTGCTTGCAAACTAAACCAGCACTAAATATTTGCTCCCTGTATAAACCATTTATCTTTGAACAGACTCATTATAGAGAAAGAAATCTGCCTAAAAGATATAAGGAAGATTAAACATCATGAGAACTGCC